CCAGGGAGGTTGTGGAGGCTCCTTCACTGGAGACATTCAAAACCTACCTGGATGCGTTCCTGTGTGAGGTACTCTAGGTGACCCTGCTCTGGCAGGGGTGTTGGACTAGATGATCTCTCGAGGTCCCTTCCAGCCCGTAAGATTCTATGTTTCTATGAAAATAACAGGGACAAATAAGCAGAAGCTGTAAATATTTATTTTTTTTTAAGTGAGAAAGAGAAGGGGCAAAACAAAATAGAGAACGGGGGGGCTGACCAAAAAGGGAGAGAGAAAGAGGGGGAAAAAAAAAAAAAGAAAAAGGTCAAGAGAAGAGGTGGTAAAATAGAGATAAGCTGGTAAAAAAGAGAGGGAGAGGAGGGCCTGAGTAAAAAATGAGAGAAGGGGGATATAAGAAAAAAGAGAAGGGAAGCTGATAAAAAATAGGAGAGAGAAGGGGGGTCTACAAAAAAAAGAGAGAAGGAGAGAGAAAGGGGGAGCCAACAAAAAATAAATAAATAAGGGAATGTGAAAAGAGAAGGGAGAAAGGACAGAGAGAATGGGGACAAAAAAAAAGAGGGGTACTGAAAACAAGAGAAGGGGGTAGGGGAAAAAAAGGCGGAGCAAAAAAACACCACAGAAGAACAGCTGAGAACAAAAGAGAGAGAGAGAGAAAGGGATATTAAAAAAAGAGACTGAGGAGCCAATAAAATTTAAAAAGAGAATCATAGCCAGCAGATGGAGAGAGGTGATTCTGCCCCTTGACTCTGCCCTGGTGGAACCTCACCTGGAGTGCTGTGTCCAGCTCTGGTGCCCACAATAAAAGAAAGATGTGGACCTGTTGAAGTGTGTCCAGAGGAGGCCATGAAAATTATCCAAGGGCTAGAGCAGCTCTCTGATGAGGACAGGCTGAGGGAGCTGGGGTTGTTCAGTCTGAAGAAGAGAAGGCTCTGGAGGGACCTCATAGTGGCCTTCCAGTACCTGAAGGGGCTACAGGAAAGCTGGGGAGGGACTTGTTACAAGGGCTTGTATTGCGAGGACAAGGGATTTTAAACTGACACAGATTTAGGTTAGAGATCAGAAGGGAATTTTTTAGAGTGAGAGTGGTGAGACACTGGAAAAGGTTGCCCAGAGAAGTTGTGGAAGCCCCATCCCTGAAAGTGCTGAAGGGCAGGTTGGATGGGGCTCTGAGCAACCTGATCTACTGCAAGGTGTCCCTGCCCATGCAGGGGAGTTCAAACTCAATGATCTTTAAGGTCACTTCCAACTCTAACCATTCTATGATTCGATGATTCTACGAAACAGGGGATGTCAAAAAAAAAAAAAAAAAAAAAATAAAACAGGTAAAGGCATAAAAAAAAAAAGGGGGAGGGGGGTAAAAGGGGACAAAAAGAGACAGAGAAGGCATTAAAAAAATGAGAGATAACAGGAAGTGATAACTACCAAAAAAGGTAGAAGAAAGGTAGGGAAGAAAGGAAGGGGATAAAATAAAAGAGAAAGGGGAGCAAATAAAAAGGGGGGCTGAAGAAAGAAAGAAGGGGGGAGGAACAAAAACAGAGAAGAGGTTGTAAAATTTTTTAAAAAGAGACTGAGGGGCCAACAAATATGAAGAAATAGGG